GGCCCATGTCGTGTCGTACAAACGTTCGGGATTGGAAATGTGAAAATGTGAAGCAATGTATTGGACCCAGCACGTCATCGACATAAGCTTTGACAGGGAACCGGGGTGGGGGTACGCCGTCTTGACAGGTCCGCAAGCCTCCAGATCTGCATGGTAGTAATGTTGTTGCATAATAAGTTGTTGAAGCCTGGGTTGGTAATTACTTGCGTGGTTCTAAACGCCGAACGACTCTTGCGCCGGAGGCTGTTTATCGCCGACAGATGCTATTGCTGTCACGCTCCGCGGCTCCAGCCCCTTTCTCGTAGCTGATGACATGGAATCAATAGGCCGATGATCAAAGGGGCAGGGGCAGGGGCAGGGGCAGGGACAAATCCATTACGCGATTTGACGCTGGGGTGGAAGAACTGGATGGTATTGCCTTCATCTCTGGTGTTTTCTGTCATGGGCTACCGCTCGCTCCCACCAGCAGACAAAACAGATGCCCGTTGCCTGGATACCTGGGAACTGCGCTGTATGGGAAATAAACTGTACTGCAAAGCTATACCCAGCATATTTTGCAAACCTGAACGCGTTATTTGGGTGCCGTTATTGTTCTCGGAAGAGATTTCAAATTTGCATTTTGATAATTAGCATTTTCAAGCTGAATACGTAGGGAACTGCTTTGGGCATTTGTAATAAACAAACTGAACGTCAGAGACTAAGCACATCCCATTGCCAAACAGTAATTACAGCCTACAGACAATCTCGCAGCCACCACACAGACCGTGCGTGCCACTCCATCCAAGCCTCGACTGCTAATCATTGCCGCACATAATCGCTACCCTTTTCAGAGCCGCGTCCAGCTCACTTCCTCGCATTCTTCCCCGCCGACGTCCTGATGCGCGGCTCGAGAGGAAACACGGACTTGTCCGGGCTGACGTCCTTGAACAGGCGGTCCCAGCGGTCCCGCAGCGCCGCCGGCGTCTCCCACGCGTACTCGGGGTCGCGCAGCCAGAGCCGGATCAGGTGGCGTCTGCGCGCGTGGTGGCAAGCGTGTCAGTGTCAGGTCATCAAACGTGACCAGGAGAGAAATAGACTTTATCAAAGCATGGAAGGAAAGGAAAAGACAAGAAAAGAAAAGAAAGAAAAGAAAAGAAAAGAAAAGAAAAGAAAAGAAAAGAAAAGAAAAGAAAAGAAAGGAAAAACTGACTGCTTCTCCGCGGAATCCGTAAACCCGGCGCGCGCATGGAAGATGCTCAAGTTGTTCGCGTACTGGATATCGCCCTGGTGGAAGTCGAGCGACGCCGCGACCCTCTCGGCCGCGAAGTGCAGCGCGTCGAGCGCCTCGGCCTGCGCTTCCGTGATGGGCGGGATGTCGGCCGACCGCGGCAAGCCCCAGTATCCCGTGAAGCTGCGGCGCGCGTACTGGATGATCAGGCGCTCGGGGGCCGTGGGTGTTGCGGGTTGGTGGTGCAGCAGGGGGGTGAGCGTGTAGGGCGTGGTTGCTGTGCCGAATCTGTTTTCGTGTCAGCCATAGTTATATATAGATCCACGCTGTAGTTGAGATGGTAATCTCACGTGTCAAAAGCCCACGGCTCGGCGAGCGTGCGGATGAGGTCCGGCCGGGTGGCAGCGAGCTCGTTGTAGACGCGCCAGCTGCTCGACAGGTAGCTCTGGCCGCCGTCGGCGGCCTCGCTGAGGGCGAACAGGGCGACGATGTCGCCCGTGTCGGTGTGGAAGACCTGCTTCTCGGTCGTGTAGGCCGGCGCGCCGATGTTGCCGGCGTCGACGTTGGCCGTCAGGTCCTTGATGTGCGCGAGCACCACGTCGGCCGGCGCGCCCTGGAACGTGTTGTCCTGCCGCGCGCGCACCGGCGCGACGTGCGCCGAGATGCCCGCGTAGATGATCACGTTGTCCTCGCGCGTGTGCTTGGTCACCGGGACACCGCGCACCACCTTGAAGCCGTGGCCGAGGTGCAGCTCCTTGGAGATTTCCCGCAGCGTGCTGTGCAGCTTGGGCAGGGGGAAAGTCTCCTGGCTGATGTATCCCAGGGGCTTTTGCAGTTCTGTCAGGGAGTTAGCATTGGGAGTTCTGGAATGGATAATTCATGTTCTTGTCTTGGAGACGGGGAAACAGTTGTAAGCAACATCACGACCTTTGAAGTGCTTCAGAGCAGCCTCGATCTCCTCCACGTCTTCCTCGGTGAGCCTGTAGTTCCAGTCGTAGGTCTTGGCAAGCTCGTTGCCGTCCCAGACCAGGTCCGACTTCAGCTCCTGGGGGAACCCGGGCGGAAGGGTCTTGTCGAGATTCTCAGTCTTGTGGCGGCGCTCGCCCCGGGCTAGGAACTTGCCATAGTTCGGCGCGTAGCCAATATCGGGCTGGCCTGGTGGTCCGGGAGGCACCTGGGGAGCTTGGACTGCCGCGGATGCCATGTTGGACGACTGTGTGATGATCTGTTTTGCGATATCACAGTCGAATGTTTGGTGTTTAGTTTAGTTGACTCAGGGGCGGTACTTATGGTCCAAGTTCCCAGGCTGGTAGTAATTAGTGAGTCTGCCGAGATGTCTGGATATTGATATATGTACGTAATTAAAGACGCTGCCCGAGAACCGGAGTCTGAGTCGGGTGTGCGTTTCGACATCCGAGCACACCACGACCCGTCGCCGACGCCAACGCCATCGTTTACACTTGGCAATAGATGCATGGCGGGGAACTGCATTGTGGGGGACGCCCGCAGACTGCCCACCCGAAATGGTCATTCGACCACAACCCAATGTCGCCATCGCACGCCATCAAGTCTGGTTACATGGGCAAGTTGTTAACTCCGATCACCAAATTGGACAACGTCATTGCATTCGGGCTTCCTTACAAAGCAAGACAAGGACTGTAAACAAAGCGCACATGGGCTTGATCCATGTTCTTGTTGATGCCAGGTGCACGGGTGAAGTGACAACAATTCCATGGGTATGTGCATTGGTATGATACAATCTCTGCGAAAAGCGGTCCTCCTGCCATACAAAACAACTTGCCAACTCCTTTTACTCCGTCCATCACTTCGTTGCGGCCGATCGGTGATCGTCCAGTTACATTTTCGTTTCCTCGTGACCTGGCCCGTCGCGCCGTCTGGCTGCTCGGCTAAGCCTTGGGACGAGCAGTCGCAGGGCGAATAGTCGCAGGACGAGGCTTGACGATCTCGGAGTACCGCGGGGGGCCCGCATTGTCAACGTGCGTCACCTCAACCTGGGAATCCTGCTTCTCGTCTGGGTATTCTGTGCGGAGCTGGGCCTCGAGGTCCTTGATCCTGGCCTCGAGCATCGTCACGTCCTGTCTGCTTCCGGTGGCTGGCGAGGGGTTCCACGGGATGACCTCGGGGATGTAGAGGAAAGCGAGAGCCAAGTGGGGAACACTGGAAGACGTCAGCACTGGTCACTACCAAGACACACCAAGAAAGGGGAGCACGAACGCGAGAAGAGCCAAGAACACAACAAAGGCAATGCCTTCGGAGGCTTCCAGCTTCAGCGACTGAGGGCTAGAGGGGAAAACCGTGCGCGAAGCGGCATTCCGCGCCAGCAGCCCCATGCCGACAGCGCTGAGGGCGCCGGAGAACAGGTCGAAGAAGAGGCACTTTTCCGGCTCGATGAGGAGCTCCGGGCGGACGTACGCAACGCGAAGCTCAATCGTGTTCCAGATCAGAGCCGCGAATGCCTGGCACAGCCACGTGGGTCAGCCGACGAACCACGACGGAGGTTGAGGAAGGCGTCCAAGCAGACATACCATGGACAAGGCGATGACCCAGTCATTGGTGCGCGCCGTGACCTGTTTGTTGGACGCTTGGGCGATTGAGGTGGCCAGCAGGCCGACACACGCGAGAATCGACACGAACCGGAGGGACAGCTTGACGAGACGCCATGGCCGGTGCTGCGGCTCCGCGGCGGCGGTGGGCGTGGCGGTGGTAGTTCTGGCAGACATGGTCGAGGAGTTGATCGTTGACGTCACGGTTGATCTAGGTCCCGAGAGGAAGAAGAATTATGTGACGGCGATTGAAGGAATGGAAGGAAGGAAGAAAGAGTTAAAATTTAAAGGTCGGTTTGCCGGGGACAGGGAGGGCGGCGGCATGTATTTGAGGAGGGAGTCAGACTCGACACTCGATCGACGTGCTCGACCTCGACCTCGCCTCGCCTCCCCGGTCGTCCACTCGACGCCCCGAACACACATCTGACCCCGGCCGGGTGCGGCACCCTCTTGCAACTCAGCAGAGTCCCTATCACAGAACCACACGTTATTTCCTGCGACGCTATAATTAATCTAACGCGGCGGGCAGTTGGTAACCCTCTGGAATCCCACAGAGGGTGCTCGATACCTAACTCGGCGTAGTGTCGAGGCAGCCGAGCTCAATCGGGGGCCGATGCGAGCTCGGGCTGCTTTCCGGAGTGCAGAGCGTAGGGCTGGGCAGCAATAACAGCTACGAGAGCCGCTTCAATACACGTATAAGTTGCTAGCAAAAGACCGTCTGACGAGGCACACAATCGCGGCCGGCCCAACCACGGGTGCTGTGCCATTGCGAGCCGACGCTAAGAGTCTTGGACGCGACAATCGGACGAATGGCGACGAGGCTCGAAAAGCCGGTGCGCGGCAGACTGACTGTGCAGAGTCGTAGCGCAGAGCCTGCAGGCATTGGCTGAAACCGACGCTGGGCGGCGCTAATTGCTCTGATAGGGTCTGGAATTAGAAGGGACTGCTGGGCCCTGGTTCTGCGTGCGGCGCGGCACCGCCGTTGGGGGCATTTGCAGTGCATCGAGTCCGACGTTGGCGTGGAATTCCGCCGATGATCGACCTGGACCGGACCAACTTGGGCTGGCACAGGTTGGGGTCCCGATTGCCAACTTGTCAGCTGTTACCAAGTTTTGGCTGCCAAAACAGTCCGAGGCGGCAGGGGTGCAAGTGGAAAGGTTGGACAGTGCTCCGTTAATAAACCCCCACACTGGCAAAAAAAGAATCCGTGGCACCAAAAAAGACGAGATTCTCCTCGACCGGAATCGAGCCGGTGACCTTTCGGTAAACAAACTAGACATTTACAGCCGAACGCGATATCCAACTACACCACAAGGAGTTCGATGCAGGGCTTGGCACATACTTTGTCTTTTCAGTGGAGAGGAGAGAGAACGGTGGAGAGACGCCTCCGCCTTTGCTGAGAGAATCGAGCCACTTTGCTCGTCACGTGATTTGAGCAATGTGACAGGGTTAGGGTTATGAGTTCGCAACACTTGGCGCTGACAGACTGACTGAAATAGAATGCTAAGGACATGGACTAGATGTTCCACGTGACTCGAGGTGGTTGCAAGAAAAGAAGGAAAGAGCCGAAGAGCAAAAGGACCGAGATTTAAGTCTATTTAAGGTTAGGCAGGTATGCAGCTTCTCTTGGGGGAGTGCAGCGCCGAAGATCTGGTTGACAAACCACAATCAGGGGAGGGGCACAGACTCGTTGGAGAGAGTTAAGCTTCGATTTGGTGGCGGTGCTCTCCAGTTGCGTCTATTCCTAGCCGAACCTAACGACATTCAGATGCGCGATGCCCCAACAACTCCACGCGGCCGTACTTGTAATACACGACTGCAAACCAACGGCTTCATGCCCAGCCAACATTCGTCGAACCCGTTTCATGTTGTGAAGTTTTGGGGTTGCTTCCAACATCTCTTTCCAACCTTTCCAACCGAGAAATAAACATGAGAGAAAACGAACCACCCATTCCACACTTAATGTGCTCTTCTTTCCTCATAAGACTCCAGAGTCCCATGACGAACTGATGATGGGGTGCGAAAGGACTCAAATGCGCTCAACTGCATCACCTCGACCAACCAAGCACACCACTTGGCACTTGGCACGGCCAGCTATCTGATCAGGCCCCTGCACTCACTTCACTTTGACTTTTCTGGAGAAGCATGCACAAGAAACGGAACTGAAAACAGCCCACCTGTTATTTCCTTGGATATTTAACAACTCGGCTCCCCCCCGCGCTTCCATCCGAACTACTCGTCCTCATCTTCCGAGTCTTGCTCTTCTGGCCCTCAGCTGTTGTCTGTTCTTGGTCTACACCTTGCGGCCTCTGTCGAGTCTCGGTGTCAACGGCAACGACGAACTCACCGCCGAGAGGCTATCATCACAACCAGCCACTTCGGCTCGATACACACGCCACCCCTACCAAGATGGATATGGGCGACATGACCATGCCGGCCGGCACTGCAACGTCGGCAGTCCCAGCGGCTACTGCCACCGCGACCATGAGCATGGACGACATGTCCATGGGCGGCGGCTCCTGCAAGATTTCTGTTCGTGACAGCACCGGCTACCGATTTCACTAGTGTTTTTGAAAGGAAGCTAACAGAACTTCTTTGAGTAACTAGATGCTCTGGAACTGGTACACGGTCGACTCGTGCTTCATCTCGTCGACGTGGCGCGTGACGTCGCGCGGCGCCTTCGCCGGGTCCTGCATCGGCGTCATCCTGCTTGTCGTGCTGCTCGAGTCGCTGCGCCGCGCCGTCAAGGAGTACGACCGCTACCTGCTCCGCCAGCACGCCGCTTCCCGACAACAGCATGGGACTTTATTGGCGGGCAGAGGCAGCAGCGCCTACGGCTCCGACAAGGGCGGCCGCGCAGACACGCTGTATGCCGCCGACGCCCCGGCGCCGACTGCTGCGGCGGGCTTCCGCCCCAGCGTGCTCCAGCAGGCTGTTCGTGCGTTATTGCACATGGCTCAGTTTGCAGTCGCCTACTTTATCATGCTGTACGTGGTTTTCCGTCGGTCACTAAGGGCTATTGCTGGTTGTTTGGAAAGCAACCGCTGCTTTACTGGTTCGCTGGCTGACTGGCTGACTGTGACCTAGGCTCGCCATGTACTACAACGGCTACATCATCATCTGCATCTTCATCGGCGCATACATTGGCAGCTTCATCTTCCACTGGGAGACCCTCGGCGGGTGAGTGTTTCTGCCTGTTCTAGGACTGTAGATGCCCCGTGACTGACGCTGCTCGCAGGAACCTGCAAACGAGTGCCGCGCAGGAGGCCACAGTCTGCTGCGGCTAGGTTTGGTTGATGGTGGCTGTTTGGTGGGAATGAGGGACAAGTGGCAGGGGGTCCTCTTGCAGCACGCCACGGACCACGCAGATGGCTTGTCTAGGTCTAGGTCCAGGGCATTGGTTGACGGTAATCGTGGGGGGTTGGTTGAGGCGGACAGCATGTCACTGGTTGTCGAAGGACAATGCGGCAAGCAGACAAATCTCCCATTAAAATGCCAATTTAATGATTAAATCCCAGGCTGCGTGCCCGATGTGTTTGTGTGCATCGCTTTCCCAGAACCCGACGTCGGACAATCTGAGCCACTTTTACTTGGGAAGTTGGGATGCATTAAAAACTTGCGCAAAATGACGCAAACCCTCTCGTTCTTTTGGGACGAGTGCTGCGTCGCACGCATATATCGCGCCACACATCCTTGGCATATTAGATATGATACGAGCACAAGAGCTGGTCAGGACACGAGTGCGCTGTCAGGCCAGACTCAAGGAAGGCCTGTCTGGATTTTGACAACTGTAGCCGGCAACCGAGACGAAGGCTTGCACAACTTGAAACAAGCCGCACGCATGCCGTCTTTCACAAACTAAAGGAGGGACAACGAACGATGAGCGCAATCGAGCATAATAAAACTTGACCTAAGTGACCAATTATCCATCATTAACTAACCCAAACAGGACCGCAGCAGACAGTAGACAGCAGACAAGAACGCCACAGCCGCATCACTTGTCCGCCCCCCATCCCATCCCATCCCATCACAACACAGCACAGCACAGCCCATCACTCAGCCTGGATCAAGCAGCGGTGGCCCGACGGCGACGAGAGGAAATACATCAGCGGCTCCATTTCCTCGTCCGTCATGCCCATGCTGCGCGCGACCTTGGCGTTGGGGAAGGCGAGGAAGAAGCGCGCCGTGGCAAGGCGCAGCTCGATGCGCGCCAGGTGCAGGCCGATGCAGACTATACTCACATCAGTTAACCACTTAGGTTCTTGCGCTGCTGGGGGAACGGGGGATGGGTGTCACTTACTGCGCGACCCGGCGCCCCATGCCATGAGCGAGTCCTTCATGGCCCTGGTCGGCGCGGCCCAGCGCGCGGGGTCGAAGCGCTCCGGGTCGGGGAACACGTCGGGGTCGCGGTGCAGCGTGTAGGCCTGGGCGGCCACGGTCGTCCCGGCATCGAACCAGTAGCCGCTGAGGTAGGCGCCGCCGGGGGGCACGGCGCGCGGCAGGCCCGAGGGCACGGCCGTGTGCAGGCGGAGGGTCTCCTCGATGACCTGGGCGAGGTATGGCAGGGGCCGCAGCTCGACGTCGCCGAAGCCGTCGGGCAGCGTGCGCAGCTCGGCCAGCAGCGCGGCCTTGACCTCGGGGTGGCGGCACACGGCCCACACGAGGTAGGTGAGCGTGTTGGAGGTGGTGTCGCTGCCGGCCACGATGTAGGTGTGGGCGTTGCGCAAAATCTCTTCGAATCCCATGTTGTCGTCCTCGGCCGCGCGGAAAGCGTTGGTGAAGAGCGTCTGCTTGACGCTCGTCGGGTCCGTGGCGACCAGGTTCTCGTAGCGCCGCAGCGACTCTCGTGCGTAACCCTCCATTCTGCGGCTGGCATCTTCCGCCCGCTTGAATAGCGGCACGGGGATGATGGTCAGCCGCGCGAGAGACGGGGCCACAGAGCGGAGGGCACTGAGGGGCGCGATTTCCTCGAGGCTTTTGGTGTATTCGTTTTTCTGGGTACTTACGTATCAGTGCCTCGACAGACCAAGTCAAATGCAAATTCAACAAGACAAAAGAGACACAACTGACCTTGCCTTGCTCCAGGGTCTGAAACGAGCTGCCAAAGGCTAGCTCGCCAATGATGTCGGTCGCCATGAACAGCCACCATTTGAAGACGTCTGCGGCGCCCGTCTTCTGCATCTCTTCTCTCATGCGCTGGATAGTCAGGTTGACGCGGCTTTCGACGAGGGGCAGCACGGCCTTGAGCGACGTCTCGGACATGGGCCCGGAGAGGAGCCGGCGGTACTTGCGGTGTAGCTCGATGTTGTTGGTGTTGAACATGTTGTGGCTCTCGTTTGTCGTCAGGTCCGTGTACCATTTCGTCTTGCGGAACACTTCCTTGACGCTGTAGATTTCCTTCACTGCCGCTAAGTCTGTGACGTAGACCTCGTCTGGCGCAACACGGACCGTGTCGCCTTTGGCAGCCAAGGTGTCAGCAGGGAGCTGCTCTTGGAGCAAGGGAAACATACCATATTTGTTGTGCAGGCGGTGGACGTATTTCGGCTGATCGCCGCTCAGCAAGTGGTACTTGAGAACTAGGCTCGTGTATTTCGTGTACCACGGCCCGGGCACCTGGGACGTCGGCTTCCGGCCGATTTGGTACAGCGCCTGGATGGGACAGTCAACAAACTGAATCAACTTGTGAGGTAGATAACGGGCGAACTTACATATCCAAATGAGAGCAGCAGCAAGCCTGCGCCAGTAAGCCAGATGCGGCTGTCTATGCTGCTAAAGTGGTCCATGTTTTGGACCTCGAGACAATCAAAAGCAACAAAGTGCCCAATGCCCAGTTGTCTCGTACTCTGTCAAAGAAAGAGGCGCTTATATGCAAATAGAGCCAGTGTCTCTCGGCTAGGTAGTTAGCCAACAGTAATCTCCAGCAAGTTAGCAATTGATGACGTGATGTAGCTTATTGTTTACTTCTTGGGCAAATCAAGCGAGAGAACAGTAGAACAACGATCTGGCGATGCCACAACCCGCACTATCTATACCGGGGCGATTGCCAGTATTTCGGAAGACGAGCCACCTTCGATCTGGCAACGATACTGATAGCGCCGAGCAGGCGGCGGACGACTCCGCGGAGTCTCGCTTGATCGCAAGCAAGTGTAGCACTGCGAGACAACATGGCAGCAGCAGCAGCAGCACCAATCCCGCTCTCGCGTTTCTAATCGCCGATTAGTGAAATGCCACCAACCCCACCAAGTTACCGCACCCTCGCTGGTTATCTGCCGCCCGTCTCCTGCCACACGATGCGCTCAGACCGGTTAGATCCGACTA